TTCAAATTTAAATCCTACCACTATATGTTTCATTTTTTTAATAGTTAAACAATTTAACTATCCCTTCCTGTTAAAATAAAATAATATTCTTTTACCTAAAAAATAGAAAAAGTAACTGTAGTATTGCAAATACGGATTTTAAACAGCGACCTTCCTCTCCCTTACCTTATCTCCGATTCTCCTTTATGTATACTGGTATATATCTCCTCCCCGAATTCGATTTCATATCTCAATTCAATTCAGCTACTAGATCATCAGTTTTTAATGGAGTATAGGCCTTTAGAGATCACGCTCATCTCCGCCAAGGACCTCAAGGATGTTAATCTCCTCTCCAAGATGGATGTTTACGCCGTCGTTACTATCAACGGTGACACACAAACCAAGCAGAAAACCCCAGTCGACAAGGACTGTGGTTCCAACCCCAACTGGAACCACATCATGAAATTTACCGTCGATGAAGCCGCCGCTAATCAGAACCGCCTCAGTTTCGTCATTCGTCTCGTGTCCGATCGCCACTTCGGCGATAAGGATATTGGGGAGGTCGTGGTTCCCATCGGGGAGTTGATGAATAGCAAGGAGAAGGTTCTCAGCTACAACGTCAGGATGCTGAATGGGAAGGTGAAAGGTACCCTGAATTTGTCTTTCAAAATTGGAGAAAAATTCTGTGTTCCTGTTGCTGCGCCGCCGTATGTGGCGGAGAAGTGTAAGGTTGGGGAAACACCCGTGATGGCATATCCTGCTGTCGGATCCAGCTCGGCTTACCCGGCTCCGGCTCCGCCTCCAGTTGCATATCCGTACAATTACCCGCCACCCGGTGGATACCCGCCTCCGCCGCAGCCATACGGGTATGCACCACCTCCTCCTGCAGTTGGTTATGGGTATCCTGGCTACCCGCCTTATGGTGGGTATGGGTACATGCCGGCCCAAAAGCCACAGAAGCAACTTGGCACTGGAGCTGGGTTGGGACTAGGGCTCGCCGGCGGGTTGTTGGGCGGGTTAATAGTCGGCGAGATGGTATCTGATGTAGACGATGCACTAGACGATGGGTTTGATTTCTAAGTAGTTTCATCTTCTTTTTTTTTTCCCTTTGGATTTGCTGTAATAAAGAGAAAACAGACATTTTAATGTCCTCCCTACCTCCCAAAATAAATGCAAAATAAATGTTTTTTAACTTTGCATTTATATCAAATTAATTATCAATTTTTTATTTTTATAAAATAAATAAATATTTTTATTTTAACTCAATCATTCTATTGCAAAATGTTTATATTTCTCTTTTATTTTTTTAAAAAATAATATTGATAAATACTCAAACTTCATCAAGATTTCAATGACTAGAAATTAAAATTAGTGATGGGTTTCAATATAGTGTTATGTAAATTAATGATGTGTTCAAACAAAAAAAAAATAATGGGATATTAATCTAAAAATTAAAAAAAAAAAAGAAAGAAAGAAAAAAGAAAAAGGAAAAAGGAAAAAGGAAGAAATGAATTTGCTTTATGAATAATAAATATTGTAGTAATCGCAGCACAATTGGAGGATGAGGAAGTTTATATTTTTTTTAAAGATGTCTTTAACATCTAAAATTTGAATTTTCATGTTGTTTTTTTTTAAAAAAAAAAATCTTGTATTGCACAATATTAAATAATTTCTTTTTATTTCTTAATCTAGTTTATCTATATGTTATACCAATCGAATTCAAAATATCTCATTTTCCCTGAAAAGAATTATAATTAAATTATTCAAATTGTTAATAATTTTTATGTTGCTCTTAAACTCAAGTTTTAACTATAAAAATTTTTTTATTTAGTGGTATTTTTTTGTAGGAATAATAGTATATCCTGATCATGAATTTGATATGTACAATTACTTAAGAGAGTGGTGACACAGTTGCCTCTCCAACATAAATAAATAAATTTAACTTTCCTTATAGAAATGGAGGTTACATAAAATATAAATGAGAGAGTATTTATGAACATCTAATTTGAGGTACTTTAAGTTAATAGACATTGTATATAGCCAAAAATTATCTTCACGATGGATATTAACAATAAATTTATATTTTGAAATTGTTATGCAATTGCCTTAGAGCATAAATAGAAAAAAAAAAAGTATGGAAGAACATGATTATGAGTATCTATTATATAGAATCATTAGACATTCTCAATTGCTATACAAATTTCATGAGAAAGCAATTAATTCGACAAATAATAATTTACACTCATTGAATAATAATAATATTTTTTTATGAACCTAATAATAACGATAATTGCATGTGGCTCATTAAGATGTTAAAAAAAATAAATAAATAACCTCTAATTTAATATATTAAGTTTCAACCTTAAAATATGTATAGTTAGTAGTATTCTCCTTATTGTTTTGTTTCAAGCGATGATTCAATTGGTTAATAACCTCAAATTTTAATTTAAATATCTTAAGTTTAAACTTTAAATTAAATAGTGAAAGATTTAAAAACAAGAGAGTTATTTTTTTGAGTAATTTATTATCAAATATTTTAAATACAAAAAAGAAAAAAAAAGAGCACGTGGCATTTTCCTTGAAGTTTTATTTTGAGAAAAAAAAAAAACCAACGCAGCTGACCTTGATTACCAAATTATTTGAAATAATCTTCTTGCTTAAATTTATAGTCTTCATTTTTGCTTTTATATTTGAAGAGCTGTAAGTAATATCTAATTTGGCATGCTAATCCTTATTAATTAATAATGCTGCAGAGATTCTGTACAAATTCGCACCAATAATTTGATTGAATCGGATGAAAATTTCCGGCCAATTTCCTTCTCCGATCCTATGATGCAGTCTAGCCAACAAAAAAATCCTTTGATGCAGTGGCGGAGGTTGTATCTCACCATCATCTCCGCCAAACTTCATTTATCTGAATCCGCAATCTACGTCAAGGTTTCCGTTTCGGAACTCAAAGGTCAGACGCAGAGGACTCCGGTGGCCAAGGACGGTGATCAAAGTGATGGAACGGAGTTTTCCTGGAACTTCCCGATGAAGTTCGAGATAAAGGAAGAGATTCTAACGGGGAGCGATCTAGATCGGGTGCCGTTCCTCGACCTGAAACTCAAGTCGCCGGGACGGATCAGGAGCAGAGGCGTCGGATTGGTGAAGGCGCCGCTCCGGCGGTTTTTGCTGGACAATGTTTCGGCGGATATATCGGATGAGCAGGAAGTGGAAATCCAGATCAATGATTATTCCGGGAATCATGCGGGCATTTTGAAGTTTTCCTACAGGTTTGGACCACCTTTCACCAATAGGCCCAGGATGTCTTAATCAAAATATTCGTAAGTGCATATACTTTTATTTTATGTAAGTTCACACCAAAAATAATTACATGCAAGTAAAAAGTTGATAAAATTTTATTTTTTTAGTAGATTTAATTTAGTTTTTTGACTTTAAATTATAAATTTTAGATAAAAAATTAACATATTTTATAAAAAAATAATTAATTTTTTTAAAAAATAATTAATTTTTTTATCAAATAAAAATATTTAACAAGAACTATATATAATTTTTTTTAATTGTATTCGTATATATGGTAAACTTTTTATCTAAAATTTATATCTTAAAAGTTAAGAAATTAAATTAGAGTTATTAAAAATAAATGAAAGGAGTAATATTTATTTCAGTTTTGATTCATTTCATTTATTATAAGAAAAAATATTTTACAATTTAAATTGAATCAAATGGTAAAACATTAATTTTTGAATTATGAGAGTCCTGAGAGGGAGGTAGAATCCTCTGTCTAATAACTAGTGATTTATAGCCTAACATAATAAAAACTAAAAAATACCATACTATTTATTTATAATATAATATAATATTAGTAATTTAATTCCATATTTTACCATTTAAACTATACTACACTACAAAATACAAGTTATCAAATCAGGAGCGTCCACTCTTGCATTTAGGGGCCTGCCTCAGCCTCACCTTATGGTCATCAGGCGAGTTCTATATAGTTAGTACCTGTGCTTTTAGGTCTCAAAATTGAATATGAAGATGAGCAAAATATCTCCTATTATATGTGGAGAATACCTAATAAAGATATATAAAAACTAATGCTACAAATACTGAGTAGGATCTGCAAACTTAATAATAAATTGTCAATTCAACACCTCACTTTCCCGGTGCAGTGAAAAGGGTACAGTACACAACATTAAATTTAGGTGTTCAAGTTTTAGTCAATGCGAGTTTTGTCTTAGCTTTTTGATTTTTTATTTGTTATTGTAAATTAATTTAGAGATTTGCAGGACTATGTG